TGGCTTAGAAATGCGCCCGTTTAAATCAACAACATAAGACTGGTGTGCGTTTAAAAGTTTATCCAAACAGAAAAGGGGAGGGGGATATAATTGCCTTATTTAGAAATGGGGGGCATGTAAATTATTTATCCTAGAAATTAAGGGGGATGAAACAAAGAAAAACAAAATGAATTATATACGAAATGGTAGGTTAAATGTGATATATCATTGTTATTGGATAATTTGGTTTGATATTATTGATTTGTGATTAGTTGTTCTCAGTCATTCAGGATCAACGGTACTTAAAGGCGAATCGGGCAGCGATTGTAAAAAAAAGGAAAAAAAATTACGAAGTGCCAACTAGGAGCAATGAGGTGCCACTCATTAATATCAATAAACAAATGGCTATCTGGCTAAAGTGAACAAATGATCCTTTTTTTCTAAACGATTACGACGCGAAACAAGCAAGTCATCCTATGTAAGTAGACAGACGTGAAGGTCGAATGTATCTTTAGCCTTGGGGATTCCTGAAACGTTTTCGAGGCGGGAGGGAGCGTTCGTATAAAAGCGCGGGCACTTTCCAGCCAGAATCAGTGTCCTCCTAGAAAGCCCACTGAGAAATACCACTGCTTCATGGTACGTCTTAGCGAACTTGTAGTCTCCCTCTTGGCTCGCATTTGCCAGTCCTTGCCGATGTTTTATAAGTTTCTTTTTCCATGGGAGAGCACTTGTCATATATCATGGGAATAAGACGATTATGGTTGCACGGACTGGCGTTAGTATCAGATGCGGTAGTGCACATCTAGTGTCAAGTGCAGTAAACAACAAGCACATACACACACACACGCAGATTCACATACATGCATACAGACACACACACACATGTATAAATATGTATGTATATATATGTACACACACAGAGATATACATATGTATGTATGTAATATAATATATATATATAATATATAATTATGTAGGGACACACACAGAGTACACATATGTATGTATATATATGCAGACAGCATACAACAACGCACGGACTCACACGCATACACGATACACACAACACACACACACACCACACACACACGACACACACACAACACACACAGCACAGTATATTTGAAACACAAAAGCACACACACGCAGACCACCACGATTACAGACACACACGACACCATGATATACATATGTAGTAGGACAGGATATAAATAATGTAAAAACAACACATATATAACATTAATGTAGTAGTGATGAAAGTATATATCAATAATTGAGATATAGATATTATATAGATATAGGTAGTAGTTATACGTTATGTGATATATATGTAGGGCGCCACACGAGCACTGATACACATAAGTAATAGTGATGGTGTGTATTATTGCACACACATACATACATCAGCAGCAACGGACAACACACACACACTGCAAGTAGCACACGGACATATGTGGTGGTGTTGTAGTGTGCGAAGGGTGCGTGTTGGTCTGTGTTTGTGCACCCACACACACATTGCACATATATTTACATATACATATATTATATATATATATAAGGTAATAGATATTATATAGTGTCAGATAAATAATAATTGAGAGCAGCAGGTAAATTATAAAGGTAGTAACTATAGGGATAGGATAATATATATATATATATATATATATATATTATATATATATATGTATAATAATTGTAATAGTCTCAAAAACATATATCATGTATGGTGAGAATATGAAATACTATATACATAATGATAGAGGCAGAAATCCCATGGCAAGCCGAGAGTAATTAATGCAGGCGAAAGAACTATGCGTGGGGAAACATGGAAGAGAAAGAAGATGTCATATCTGACGACGGCATTGACCGCCTTCCGCTTTCTCGTGCGACACGCAGAGAGCCGTACTTTGTGTGCAGTGAGACATACTACTCTGAGGTACCACTGCGGACGACCTGCCATGGCGCGAGTGGGCGTTAGGCCAGGCCCCTTATGCCGAGGCGGGCTGCGGCTTTGCCGAGGCTGCGTCAAGGTCTTGATCCTCGGAGGAGGTTCTTCGCGACGGGAGAGGGTTCGGCCAGTGACTTGTGGATTCGGCGTGATTTCGGCCATGGACCTTGGTGGAGATTTTGCGGATTCGGCCATGGATTCGGCCATGGATTTTGGAAGGCCATGGTATTTGGAGGCCATGGTTACGGGACATTAGGGCGAACCACCGCACACAGACCACTTCGTATTGGCTAAACGCGAAGGGAATGAGGAGGAAGCTGGTGAAAGTGCGTTGGATTTGTATAAAGGTTACCCCTTCCTCTATAGCTTGTTTTGTTTTTACGTCTATTCCCTATTGAATTAACTGCCTTACATGAATCGATATCTCACTGATTACCCATTGCACCGACTGCCGATTTACTCGCTGTATTACCCGGATGTAGGAGGTTGGCTGAGAAAGGAGACGCGAGCGATGCAGCGAATGGAGGAGATGTTACAAGAGAGACTAGGACGCAGGCAGTGATACGTATTGAT